TTATAATCAGGTGATTTTCGAAGTAATATTTGGAATGGGGATTGATTATCTAGGTGAGAGGTTGGAAGACGATTGATGAGGTAGACAGTGTGATGGCATGCAAAAGACCAGAATTGGGGTGGGAGGGACGCCTCATGTAAGAGTGTTCTTGCAGTTTCGACGATATGACGATGTTGTCGCTCTGCAAGTGCAACTCGTTGGGGTGTATAGGGTGGGGTGAAGAGGTGTTGAATGCCGTGAAGTGAAAGATAAGAGTCAAGACTTTTATACTTACCTCCGCCATCAGTATACAATGATAAAATTTTAGTGTCAAAATGTTTTTCCATCATAGGATGAAATATTTGAAAGATCTCTTTAACTTCACTTTTCTTTGTTAGTGTGTAGAGCCAAGTGTACTTCATATATTGATCAACAAAAATACAATAATACAACTTTTTGTCAAGAGATAAGACTGGTGATGGCCCCCATAAATCACTAAAAATAGTTTGAAGTGGTTTAGAGCTAGACATTGATAATTGGGTAAAAGGATGTTGATGAACTTTATTAGATAAACAAGAATTACAATGAAAGTTTTTGTCTCGCTCATGAAACGGTAGCGAGAATTTATTTAAAATAAACCTAAGAACTCTAGAGTGAGGATGTCCAAGACGTTGCTGCCAAGTAGTGAGAGGATTAGATGTGGAGATAATGTGAGCTTGAGGATGTGAGACAGGCCACTCATACAATCCATTGTTGGTCCGACCGTGCACCAGTGGCTTCCGCGTTTGCAGATCCTTCACAACAAAGTTAAAAGGGAAAAATTCAATAGACTTACGATTGTCTTGACAGAATTTAGAAACCGAAAGAAGCTTGCATTTAATGGAAGGGGCACACAGAGTGTGGGTTAGCTTAAAGACATTATTTGATGCATTTAATTTAGTAGAACCAGTGTAAGAGATAGGAATTTTGTTACCATCACCCATAGAGACATCCTCGTTACCATGGTATGGTTGTAGGTTGTGCGGCTCTGTTGTGATATGATGGGTGGCTCCTGAGTCAATTATCCAAGGGTTGGTGTCCGCCGTAAACCTAGCGGCATAGTTGGCTTTCGCTTCAAAGTGATTATGAGACTTCGAGCGGCAAACATTGGCAGTGTGGCCAATTCTATTACATAGTTGACATCGAGTAACACCGTTCGGATTGGAATTGGACTGCCATTGTGGTGGAGTGCTTGGACGCGAATTTTGGCGCCATTGTTGAGAGTTGTTGGTTTGTCTACGATTGTTGCTATTATTGGAGTTGAATTTGGTGGGAGTAGCAACTGCAGTAGTGATGGTACTAGGTAGTTTCTTAGCATCCTCATGGCGAAGGAAGAGTTCAAAGTCTAGTAGCTTTTCAAACAGTTCCTCATAGGAGATAGTCGTATCGCGTGCACGAATGGCAGCAGAGATCTCACAAAATTCAGGACCTAGACCACTAAGTATTTTGACGATAAGTTCAGGATTGGAAACAGGAGCACCAGCAGTGGCTAACTCATCTGAAAAGGACCGAATAGTGTGAAGATATTCAGTAATGGAGCGAGAGTCCTTAGTGACACGGGTAAGCTGATCACGCAAACTGAAGACTCGGGTTTGAGATTTGTTTGCATAAGTGGCATGCAAAGCATCCCAAGCTGATTTAGCCGAGTCAGCGGCAACAACAGTAGAGGCAATAGTGGGTTCGACAGAAGCCATGAGGGCATTCTGGATGAGTTGGTCCTGACGGAACCAAGTTAGGAAGGCAGGATTAGGAGATATATTTGTGCCGAGAGTAATCGTGCGACCGGGGGATGGAGTGGTTCCATCGAGATGGCCAAAGAGGTTGTAGCCATACATAAGCATGGAAAATTGGGCTTTCCAGATGGCAAGGTTGTGACCACCGCTTAGTTTGATGGGTAATTGGGATGCAGGATTGAATTGAATGATAATATTAGTACCCGTCGTGTTATCAACATTGACAACTCTAGGATTGTTGCCATTGTTGTTACCATTGTGATTGGTCATTGTTGCTGATCTGCGTGAGGAGGAGAAAAAAAAAATTGATCGTACTCGTTAGAGCGTGAAGAGCCCTGATACCATATAAAGACTGAATGTGTGCTGAAAAGAGTATGTTTATTAATGAAGGCAGCAAGGTATTAAATAGAGTTACAGGGAAAATAATAAGACTCCTAAACTAACTGAACTAAAGTAATCTAAATAAATAATAACTGCTGAATTAGTAATGCAATCCTAATACGACTAAACTACTGAGTGATGTCCTAACGCCAGATGCTCTAATATAATCAACAAGGCTAAAGCCGTATTGTGACGACATAAGTAAAGGTGACCTGCCATTTTCCCTTCCATTATCCCATTGAATGCCAACAAAATTCTTCTCATCTTCACTTTACTGTAGAATTTAGAATTACAAGAGTTATTACTATTTGACTTAAACACTTAGAAAGTCAAATTTTGGTAGAAAATCTCGATACAATTTTGTTTTTATTTTTGTTTAAATCTTTCAAAATATTTATTTGTTTAGTTGCTTAGTAAATTCATCAATTTCGATTAGGATTTTGGATAAGAAAAACCTCAAAGATCCTTCTCTAATGACCGTCTCTAAGAGGATTATAAGAGGTATCCTACTTAATCATCAATTTTTTAGCGATTTCCCATCTTTTGATCTATGTAAGTGAATACAGATTCGGATTTACGTTTGCTGAACAAAAAATCGGAAAAAAGGAATATAGCATACGAAGAAGAAGAAAGAGAGAGTCAGAGAGAAAGGTTGCAAAAATTGTATTCATATTAATTTTTGTTTGCCAATTATTTTTTTTTTCTCAGCATTTGTATTTTTATTAAGAACATTGTATTTATTTTTTTGTTTAGTTTGTAGTCATTTCAATAGGTATGTCAAATGGATTTGTATTTTTTAAGCATAGATGTATCATATTTTTTCAGAGTCAGAATATTGTATCCTTCCTCAATTGATTGTATTATTTCCACTATGTATGCTATTTTTTTTTCAAAATCTTGTATCTTTTCTTAAATCGTATTCATATCACATATGTAATGATTAGATTATATTGGGATACAATTAGTAATAGACTTAAGTCATTTGCGGTCCTTTAAAGTTGTCCACATAATTCATTTAGACACCTCAACTAGGGCGAGTACCTTTTGAACACTTTAACCTTAAGAATTTATATCTATTAGACACAAAATGATAATCAGTTGAAAAACAAAACTGCGTGTAACTCAAACGCAAATATATAACATGTGTACCAATGAAACAATGACGCGGTTGAATTCAATTAAAAAAATTCTATTTAAATATTCCAAAAAGAATTTTAAGAAAATAAAAATTAACTCTTTTAATTAACACCCCCACCATCCGTACGTCGTCGTCTTCTTCTTCTTCGTGTTGAGACTGTTTCCCCTTTCCGTCGGCGCCGACACGCAAATAAATCATTGCCCCACGCTTTCATTCCCTTTCATCGGCAACACCTCCTACCATTGCCATCATTTTCTTTCGATTAATAAATATTTATCACAGTTACAAGAAATAATAACAATTTTTTGCCTGAAAAATAATTGATTCAGTTTTCTTACATCGGAATAAATGGAGTTTCACCGAAATATTTGAAACCTGAAAAAAGAAGAAAAAAATAGAAGAATAATTGGAGAGGGTGAGAGAGAAAGTTGGAGGGGTGGGGTGGCATGAGAGGCAACTGGAAAGTACAGAGATGATGGAATGATATTGGATGGAAATCGTTGAGGCATCATCCTGTGAAGAAGAAGACGTCCTGCTTTTTTTTATATTGTTAGTTAATTTTTTTTTTTGGTTTCTTTATTAATTAATGTGTCAAAGGGTCAATAAAGCAAAAAGGTGTATTTTTCCAGGAAAAAGAAAAAGGAAAATGTTATTTGGGTATCTTCACGCGCCCATGGAAAGTGAAGAACATTTTTTTTGCCACATCAGTATTTTGTGCTTAATAGATACACACTTTGAATATTTTAGGTGTTCAATAGGTACTAGCCTTAGTTTAGGTGTCTAAGTGAATTATGTGGACAACTTTAAGGGGTTGCAGATGACTTAAGCCATTAGTAATATTTTTGTAATACAAATAAAAGAAAAATATATATTGGTAGTCGTGTAATACAATTTTGATCACTGAGATATCATTTTTAGTTTTCATTATGAAAGTGAAATATATACATAATTCAATCATGAATACCTTTATGTTATATGAATGTGGATATGTATTTATTGATGATTTTGTATTTATTTTTTGTGGAATACGATGTAGTTATGCATATAGGGTCATGTATACCTGATCAATTTTGTATTTCACAAAATATATCGAAGTTCCAATTGAAAATTCCTTCTCCAAAGTTGTTTATCAACGAAATTTTACTCGTTTGTTAATGACATCCCATACCCGTTTTCAAAATTTTCTTCCCAAATAGAAAAATCGCAATTTAATCGAATTCAATTCAACAGAGATTGAGTATTATCATTGGAAATTTAAAAATCAATATTGGAAATTTGATGAACAAGGGGGATGAGTGCCCTGTCGTTTTTTTGAATTTGTAATTGATTATTCTCTCCCCTAAATTTCTTTTTTCTGTTATTAAATAATTGTATTCTTTCAACTAAAACAAATAAAAAAACATAAATCAGATACTTAATAAACTAAAATATTGACATTTATAATAAATATTAAAAATGTGGCTAAGGGGTCCTATTAAATGCCAAAATATTAACATTTTGAAAATTTTCCCGAAGAATTAGTCAATTCTTTTAAAAAGAAAAATATGTTAATTCTTTTTTTTAATATCGATAAAAAGAAAAATAATTCATTTCGTATTTTGGATGGAGGAAGAATGAGTCTTAATAGGCAAGACAAACTCTTCCTTTTTTGTCCGACTCATTTAATTTAACTGAACACTCTGTTCAAAATTAGAGCTCAAACTCTTCCTTCCTGCTGATCAAAACTTCCAATGGCGTATCAGTTACACCACAATACCAAACGCAAGTTCGATGATTATGCTGCCGCAGATGCTTGGATGAGATATGACGAAACCCTCCCTCTTTCTCTGTCATCCCCCATTCAATTCTTCGTCCGTATGTTTTCCGGCGGCAAAACCCTGGTTCTTCAAGCTGATTCCTCCGACTCTGTTGCATCAGTTCACCGGAAAATCCAATCGATCACCGGCATTCGATCAATTCAATCGACCTCCGGTGTACCACGAATGGAACAGCGATTAATCTACCGCGGGAAACAGCTTCAGTTGCAACAAAGGTTATCCGAATGTGGTATACAAAACGATGACACCCTGCAACTCGTTGGAAGAATGAGAAGCACGCGCCATCCTCACACGTGGAGGCTGATGAATGACTTAAATTCGCTTATTCATGCCCTCTGCAACTGCAATGACAACACAGATGTTAATGCTAATGTCACCTGTATGATGAAGATGCTTACAGATTTTCTCACGATGACCCCAAAGGATGGCGCAGATAGATCGGAGCAATATCTCCAAATATTTATTCACTCCTCTGTTCCTGCGGCTCTGGTAAAACTTTATGTATCTCCTTCTGTAACTACCAAACAAGCTGGTCATGAATGTATTTGTCAATTTATAGATTCATGTAAGACACTTTTCGCCAACCCTGTAACTGTATATAGGCAGTTTGCTCCTATATTGTTCGAGTTTTGTAAGATTCTAAGAGGGGCTGTGGGTGTTGATGATGCTTTGTATATATTTTGCCGTAGTAGTTTAGCTGCAATGATGAAGGGTTATGTCCATGATGTCAAGTGTATGTTAAGATTGCAAGATGTTTTTCCTTTTGTTCGTGAGTTGGCAACAAGGTTATCGTGTGCTTTAGAATTGAGTGTGCAATCAGCTGAGTTTATACAGTTATCAGACAGCGATGTGCGTGAGTTTATTAAGTTTATGCATCCAGTAAAGTGTGCAATACGGCGTCAACAAACATTTGGCTGTCCGGTCAGTTTCCCTTCCTTGATGCAAAGTGAGGCAGGAAATGAAAGAATTGAGATTGAAGGCGTGCATCGTGTATTTTGTGACTTGCAGGAAAAAATGGAGCTGTGTCTGAAGAAACTGGAAAGCCAGCTGGGTTTGATAAACAAAGAAAGAGGTGAGCATATTGTAAGCTGTTGGCCCCTCTATCTTTTAATTCTTAAGGAGTTAGAAAGCATTTCAAAGTTGTATAACGGTTTGGAGGAAATGTTTTGGGAGAAGATGAGGCAAAGAAGAGTTGAATTGTGCTTTCTGATGGTTAGACTTTCAAAAAGGTCTACAGATTATCAGTGGATTCTTGAGCACAAGGAGGTAACAAATTTTAAGATAAGGCAGCGGTTTGCCTTGAAGATGCTTCGAGAAGGGAGGCACAAGAACGAGGAGTTTTACGAGATGCTCATTTGCAGGTCTCGCTTGTTTGAACAATCATTTGAGTACATTGGACATGTGAATCCTAGGTCGCTGCGAGGCCAGTTGTTTATGCAATTTGAGAATGAAGAAGCTACCGGACCTGGTGTATTGAGGGAGTGGTTTTCCTTGGTATTTGAAGCCATTTTCAACCCTCAGAATACTCTATTTGTTTCATGCCCAAATGACGGTAGAAGGTTTTTCCCAAATCCAGGTAAGCTTTTGTTGACATTTTGTTCTCATTTATACCTTCTGTTAGTTTTTGGATCTAAAGTTGTCAAGTATGAAAGATGTTTTAATCTGATTTTTCCTCAAAAATAGATTAAGAGTATGAGATAGAGGTTGAATCTTTGTGAGTATGAGCATACGTATTATCTCTCCCTATGTAAACCATGTAAGGTTGCTTGATGTTGCTTCTCATATCCTCATAGCATGCTTTGAGGTTCAACTCTTTCATGAAACCCATGTCTGAGGGCTTTACTGCTTCGTTGCTACATAAATTAAGTAATTCCAAAGTGCATTAATCTATTTCAAGTATTGGTAAGCGAAATGGAACTTGTATAAATAAAGATAAAGGAATGAGGACACACATGTTTGTGGAAGGAACTACAGAAACATGAACTATTCATTATTCAAGGGTTGAGGATAGGAAAAAAAAAGACCCTGATATGGCAAGATAATACCCACTAAAAACGGAATTTCAGATTGTTTAGCATCTTTTTGTGTATCAAACCACTGCCACACTCCCCTTCTCAGATTTGTTTAACTATGTAGCCGACCCAAAAGAAGGATAGAAAATCCTCCTTAGAAGGAAGAACAACTAGGACAGCTTTTAGAACAACTAAGCAGCAGCCCCAACCTACAGCCCAAGCCTTATACTGTGATTGGAAAGGACAAACAGATGGTCTATTTACTACCAAGTCTTGCTATACACTCTTGACCAAAGGTAGGTTATTCCCTTGTGTTGTTGGCCATGGAGAATAATTTGGGTGCCTAGGGAGGTATGTCTCAGATAGAATATTTTCTCGATGAAAGGGATACATATCAGCAGTAGGTGAATCATCTTTTCCTCCATTGCAAAAAAGTGGCGCATATGGAGCAGGATCTTTAACTTGCTAGGGTTACAATTGCATCATGCCAAGGCTGCAGCAAAATTTCTTGCAGAGTCAGTACAAAAGACATCATCATGAAGACTTGGGATACCAGTCCGGCAGCAATCTGATGGATCATCTAGAGAAAAGATACTCTTGGTTTGAACTCAAATGCATCCTTTTTGGTATTTCATGGTAGATGTAAATGACAGTGAAACCATACTAGACTTCATAAGTTCATTTACTGTCCATCAGAAAAATCTGAGTTTTTGTTTCCTTTTGTCACTTCTCATTGCTAGGTCCTCTCATAAATAAAATCTGTATCTGCTCATCAGGGGAAAAAACATGAACAATTTGTGGATTGTTTAATCTGGACTAAATTGTTAGGACTAGGAGTTGGATGGTTTGACCAAAATCCATTTTGTAGATTGGAGGAACGAGTCGCTTGCGGGGGAAATGGTTCTTGTAGGTAAAAAATCAAAGTTCTACTGCAAATGCACGTTCATGGTGAAAGTAAATTGATTCAAGTGATTAAAAGTCATGCATTAAACGTACATAAATTCGACCTACCTTTTGGACGAAATTGAAGTGCACTGTATCAGCCAAATTCAACCCCAGAATCCAAATATTCAACAAATAATAATGAACTAATGTAATGACTCAGGCACTCAGCACAATATGCCACACCACAAGAAGCAACTTACAACAAATGATTTGAGAGAACTTGACTTCATTTAAGCAACTGAAATAAATCATTGAAACTAAGGAATAAAGAAGTCGTTGCTAATTTGAGCCCTCACATTTGCTTTGCTCATTTAATTTTGTGTTGTGTAGAATATTCTCTTCTTCCAATAATTTCCATCCTTCCGTTTACAAAGTTTTAAGCAATGGCTCTTTCTGTAAGACTTGCTAGGTTTTTACTTAATATAGTTTCTGGATTTGTTTCTTTTCATTTCTGTGTTATTGTCTGGATCTGTTAGAAGTTGGGATTTTGGAATAGGTTTCAGCATTCATTGTGCCTGGACAGATCCCTAAAGTATGTTGTAAATATGCAACAACTGATAATTTTTAACTCATTGTTTCTGCTTAGATAGATGTGTGCATGAATAGATGCTGATATATTTATAATGCCAGCCTGCTTGAAGAGATTAAGTCATTCTAACATGCTGAGGTTTTAAATTTAATTTTGTCTCGACTTAGTTCTCATGTTAGTATATTTTCTTAGTTGTGTTATTATTGATGTCCTATGGTTCTCTGATTCTCCAATCACACCAGGCAATCAGATAAAGTTCATGAAGTAATGATCGAAAGAGTTCAAGTCTTATTTATGGCCATATCAGTTTTACCTTGATATCTTTCTCAATAAAGCTGCATAGTGTACTTGGATTGTATGACATATGAATGAGTATTCACTAGCTGTATTATCATTTTTTTCCTCGTTACAATATGCTTGAAACAACTGGGAATATACTCTGATAGATTTAGGATGAATCTTACACAGCTGCATTAATAAGATGGTTGCAAGCTGTTCGATATTATTCTCTCTGTTACAATGCAAATAATCCTCATCTGCATTTTGTGCTTGCAGCATCTAAAGTGGACCCCTTGCACCTTGAGTATTTTACCTTCTCCGGCAGGATGATTGCGTTGACCTTGTTGCATAGAGTACAAATAAGTATTGCGTTTGATCGTGTGTTCTTTTTGCAATTAGCTGGAGAGGATATTTCGTTTGAAGACATTAGGGATGCAGATCCCTACTTGTACAGTGGCTGCAAGAAGATACTGGAGATGGATGCGAAGATGGTGGATGAAGATATCCTAGGCCTAACATTTGTTTGTGAAGATGAAGAATTGGGATCCAGGAAAGTGGTGGAGCTTTGCCCTGATGGGAAAAATACGATAGTGAACAGTGAGAATAGGGATAACTATGTTAATCGTCTTGTTAAACACCGTTTTGTCACATCAATTGCTCATCAGGTAGCCCATTTTTCTCAAGGTTTTGGTGACATAATTACTGACCGACGGCTCCGGAAATCCTTCTACCGGATCCTAGATCATGAAGACCTTAACAAGATGCTTCATGGGAGTAAAACTGCTGTTTCTGTAGAAAACTGGAAAGAACATACAAATTACAATGGCTACAAAAAAGATGACCTTCAAATATCCTGGTTCTGGGAGGTACTTATTTCTTGTCTGCTCTTAGTATGTTTCCAGAGTATTAACTATCGAGAAGTCTACACCTTTGCCCCTTTGATCTTCTCTTTCTTCATTGTTTTCGGATGTGGTAGATTACTGAACTCTTTCGAAGTTATTATTCCGGCAGCATTTTCAAAGTTTTCTTTTCTATTGCTGCAGATAGTTGGAAGTATGTCGGCTGAGCAGAAAAATGTGCTTCTCTTTTTCTGGACTTCAATCAAGTCTCTGCCTGTTGAGGGTTTTGGTGGTCTAGATTCTAAACTTCACATCTACAAAACCTTAGACTCTCATGATAAATTGCCTTCCGCGCACACATGCTTTTATCGCCTGTGTTTTCCTCCTTATCCATCTATGGATGTCATGCAAAATCGTCTTAACATAATCACCCAAAATTATGTTGGTTGCAGCTTTGGTGCTGAGTGATGCGCAAATTTTTGGGTTGAACTTGTACATGTGATCTGTAATGTTCTTAAATAGATGTAAGGAATGCCAACCTTCTGAAATTTCACTTCCGTAAGATATCTTTGCTCTTTGGTCCTAGTAAGTGTGAGCAATGCGGCTTAAGCACTCTAGTTGCCTAAAGCTAAATTAAATTCAAATAGAAGCTTTAAACCTTTTTTTATGGTGTGCATTCTTCTAGCTTTTTGAGATATAAAATTAATAGTTTTCTCCTAATCAATTTTTTTCTAATTACTCCTTTTCAATTGATAATATAGTCAATTCATTTAATTTTACTTGTGACATAGTACTCTATATGTCAAACTTCTAACAAAATTTGCTTTTTATATGGAAATTTTGCTTTTTCTACGAGTAGTATTCAATAAGCAAGCCAAAATATTCGGTATTCAATACTATTTTTTTTAAAAAAGAAACATATAGCCTATTGTTACTTTAAAATAATAGTCCCCCCCCCCCCCCCCCCCCCCCCCATATTTGTATGGATAAGACACCTACCTATTTTAAATGGATTCTTGCGTAAATATACCATTTGCCAAAAATGCTTTCAATTAAAAGATTGCATGTATATGTAATGCATCGATGTTTGCATAAATACTGTATAACCGGGTATATATGATATATATAGCTATGTATCAAAATTGTATATACATACATGTACGTTGTTCATACAATATTTATAAACTTCAATAGTTTAACTTCCCTACACAAGTTGTTTTTTTAAAATTTTGATCAACTCAAATCTCCTCTAAGCAATTTAAAATTTTAAACATGAGCTTCGTGAAATATTTGAGTTTTTTAATATATTATAAACTCAAAATGACTCACATTTGCGACAAATTGAATTTTAAGCTGGATAAATCTCTTTCATCAATTTGTTAGTGTCCACCGTTAAAGCTAGACTTATTTGTAAATTGCCAGGAAAGTGGGCACAAGGAAAAATCGTCAAAATGGGTAAGGAATGTCCGAATTTACTTCACCAAAAAAAAAGGCAAAACTTACATAAATTTCATAGTGTTAAGAGCTAATTACATCATATCCCTAGTCTTTTCCAAATTATAAAAATCCCTTAAAATTTAAGGATTTCGGCAGGGTCAGTCCAATCGGCCTGTTCAGAACTCCCTACAGGCTTCAGAGGGTGACCAATATAGTCGGAGTGATGCCAGCTCGAAATAGAGTCTAGATGGGTCCCAGTCAAGTACTTTATTCTGTGATGGCCGTTACTTTGCGGGCCAATCAACAAAGGGTTGTTATGACTATTGGGACTTTGATAATTGGTCTAGAGATTTCCCTTTGCTTAGGCAGATTGCTCCAGCTCCACATGCAACTCTACCAGCTCCACCAATAGCGCCTCTAGTTAGAGGCAAAGGCTAGGGTCAGGACCGTTGTGGTGGTCACTAGGGTATTTCGGGTGGTCCTTGATGAGGCAAGTTAGGTGGTAGGATAGATGCCCAGGGTAGAGGTAGAAAGGCTTACTTGTATGCAACTCCAGCGAGGACGGAGCTGAGGCATCAGACGATGGGATCGCAGGAATAATTCTTTTTTGCCATCAGCCTATCTTGACTTTATTTGATCCGGGCTCTACCTTTTCATATATATATCTATATATTTTGCTTTACGTCTGAGTATGAGTTTGGAGACTTTGTAGTGTCATTGCGTGTGTTGACCCTCGTAGGTGAGTCTTTAGTAGTGGATCATGTGTTTCAATCTTGTTTGGTGACTATCTAGGGGTGTGACTCCCGGGATGACCTCATTTTGCTTGATATGCTAGACTTTGATGTGATTCTGGGCATGAATTGGTTATCCCCCTACTGAGTGGTCATAGATTTCTTTTCTAAGGTTGTTACCTTAGCCATGTCTAGTATTGCACCGGTGGTGTAGTAGTTCTCTTGTAGTAGCACACCGGTTGAAGTTAATTCATTTATTCGGGCTCGGAGGCTAGTGGTTAGCGGTTTCTTATCTTACTTGGCCTATGTTGGGGATGTGTGTAGGGAGGTTTGTTTAGTTGAGTTTGTCCCTATTGACCGTGAGTTTTGTGGATGTGTTAGCGTACATCTGTACTATAAGCCTCTCCTCTGGGATGTGTTTTCCACTGAAGGCGGACTCCAAAGCTGCGTCATAGTGTACATTGATAATATCCTAATATACTCGTGGAACATGAGAGCTGTTGATTTTTTTGATAAAGAAATAAAGAAAATAACAGAGAAAGACTTTGAGAGAGAAAAATACTGAAGTATTATCAAAGGGAATTAATTTATTAATAATCCAGAGACTTGCATTTATAAATATAATTCCTAACTAAAAATAGAAAAATATGTTACCAACTTATCAGTTTAATTCAAATAACAAATAAAAAGAACCAACTCCTAAATATAAGTCAAATAAGACTCTTAACATAATTTAAAAACCTTAAAAATAACTAACTGCTTTATTTCTACAATATCCTAAGACATATTCTCAACACTCCTCCTTGGATAAGAAATTGTAGATTGTAGTCTCATCTGAAATTGACCTTGTGAACAAATCTGTCAATTCATCATTTGTCTTGCAAGGCTTGTGTGCATCTTTTGTTGGATTAGATGAGCAGATCTTACCTCTTATTTCAACTTGTAAAATCTCTTGCTTAGTTGAATCAAAGATTCGACATTATTTGTCTCCAAATAATAATTTAAATCATTTTTTCTATTAACTGACCAACACTAAACAAACTTTTATCAATATCAGGCACATAAAGAACATCTGAAATTATTTTTGTACCTGAATTTGTTTTAATTGAAACAGACCCTTTTCCTTTTTCATGAATACAATCACCATTCCAAATTTTGACTTTCTTAGGGCCCGTTTGGCCATGCGATATGGAATGATGAGATGAAATTGAAGTTTTGTTTGGACACGCAATATGAAATTTTTGTGTTGTATATTTGTCACGCCCCGAGCTACCCTCGAGACGCGGACACGGGACCTAGGACCACAAGTGATCCCAAGCTAACCCTGCTGGCATAATCATGAGCATACTAAAGATAATAATAACTGATGCGGAAGCTAAATCATAAAGTAAGTCTGAAATGATGGGGAATACCTATATACTACAACTGAGATGAATGAAAACTGATGAGTTTAATACAAAGTAAATATTAACTCAATACTAAGCTGAATCTAACTATGTCTGAAATAAGCCTCTAAACTGACTAGAAATGTTGGGACATGCCCCAACTAGATTTAGCAAAACTAAAACTAAAGGACTAAAAATACTGAAAGGAAACTCATGACTATTGTCGTCGAAGAATGAGGACTCACCACTGATTCTGGTGAACTGGAGATCGAGAACCGATCTAAGCGTGATCTGGATACTGAGAACCTGAACCTACATCACGAGAAGATGTAGCGTAGAGTATGCGTCAGTACTTGAAAGGTACTGAGCATGCAGGATAGAGTTAAGCTGAAATAACATATAACTAAACAAAGCAATGAATTAATCTGAACATGATATAATTACTGAATACTGAGCTAACTAAATGCAATGACCAATTTATAACATGCTGAGACTGAATACTGAATATACTGATACGTGGTCAATGCAATAGAATCTGACTGAACTGTGGGAGCTACTAATAACCGACATAAAACCACATGAGCTAAATGTGGAGTCCGATGTATACGCCCCATCGAGAGGACCCAATATACCCTGCCAGAGGTATAGAGGCATGCTGGCGTGATCACTGAAATGATGCCCACAGAGGGGACTTACAACCTACGTGGCTAGTAGTTTTGGGACTATTTGGGTACGCTGAACCCTAGTCCAACTCGATATTATGCTACTCCCAATAGATTAAGTGATTAACACATTATGACTGAATTTTTGTAATACTGGATAGCTCAAAATTGAACATGCAAAACTGACAATGCAACAATTAACCTGATAATGATGCATTCATAAACTGAGGCATGTATAACTAAATACATTATGACTGAAATACTGAATAACTTAAAATACTGACATATAGATACTCATACTTGAAAACTCCTTCTTAGAAAACAATTCAAAATCATATTATATTATGATCATTGATGACTTGAGAAGTCATACTGCATAAACATTGATGGTATATCTAGATACCATACTGTTCATACATTAATGACCTACTCGATTTTCATACTAATCATGTTTTAGAGGCTCTTTCTCAAAAACTCATTTGTTGTCTAAAAAAAAGGGCTTCTCAAGATTTATAACTCAAAATAGGGTTTATGCTGAAATATACTGATAATGTGGCGTTCAAAATTGGAGCATGTATATCTGAATAACTGAAATATCTAACCTAGCATGTGTAATTCAAGAACTAAAGAAATACATAGCTAGGGTTCTGAAATTCATGTAATAAACTGAGTACAAACATGATAATCTGATTTGGGACATATTCATAAGTAATTCATGATAATCTGCTGAAATTCTAGAAACCCTAGGTCTGTTCATAGTAAGAGAATCAAGAAACTGACTGAGTTCTAGGGACCTAATGGGTGAAAGGAACCCACTAGTGAAATCCCACATACCTGGTGATGAATTCCATGGAGAAATCTTTTGATTTCGGGGCTGAAACTGATGGAACCTTGTTGCGTTCTTGAACTAGGGTTCTTGACTTCTCTTCTCCTCTTACGCTCTAGTTTTTCTAAGTTTTGATTAATGATTTGACTTAGGAAAGTTCTAGTTATGTTTCTAGGCTTAAACGGACTAAAACCTCATAATTTAGGGTCTAAACGACGTAGCTTAGGGGTCCAATGAAATAAAAAAAGACCAAAAGACCCCCGACTTAACTGCTTTCGGAGTGACCGACGGATGGGACTGACGGACCGTGAGTCGACTGATGGTCCGTACTGGTCGACCGTCGTTCACGACTGAAGGCTGGAATTTGACTAACCCATCGACGGAGCTGACTGACGGGCCGTCGGTCGACTGATGGTCTGTAGTTGACTTCCGTCGGTGGCACCTGCAACTTCTAAAAATCTGG